GTATAATTAAAATTAATTATTAATTTTAACTTGAAATTAAAATTAAATTTTAATCTATATTAAACAGGTTAGAGGGCAAAGCAACAAGAAATGATTAAAATTATTCTATTTAATTTTTCTATACGTCCTATCATTAAAATTTTAAAACTTTAAACAACTGATAATAAAAAAGGCAAATATTTTCATGACCATATGAATTGTCGCATTTAAAGAAAAAAATTTAACGTATGACACTTTAAGAGCTTTTTAAAATTTAATCAAACTTACTTTTAAACGAATATTTATTTTCAAAGTAATTTTTTTTTTGTTTTTTCATAAAGTAAAATTACTGTTAAAATTAGTGACTTTTAATTTTTAACTTTGAGCTCTTGAGAAATTATTGAATTTAAAATTTACTTTTTAACTTAATCAAACAGACATTAAATTCAATTTGAGCCCATTTTTTCATCAGAATATGTTCTTGAATAGTGATTTGACCTATTTCAATCACATTTTTCAATAAAATAACAGGACACGTAAATTTAAATTTTTTTCTCATTTTTTAACCATAAATTATATCTATCATAATTATATTACAAAATACATTTTTTGAAAAACAAAAAAAAGGGCCCAAACAAGGTCTAAGTGATCATAATTATTGTCTCAATAAGTCAAAGTTAATCTGTCATAAAAATAAGTGCAAAAGAAAAATAAGTTCTCACCTTTCAATTAGTCAAATTGTACTTGATCACCTTTTATGACGTCAAAAAACATAATATTATTATAATATTAAGCAAAGTTGTGATAAATTCATGAAATTAACATCCAATTATCATTCCAGTTTTGCCATAGGAACATACTCAATGAAAGATTTTTATACACAGATTCACTTGACAATCATTCATTGACAGTTTTAAAAAAGTTGAACAAAAAATTGCAAATCAAAAACCATCAAATTTGTCATTGAACCTATTCGAACAGCATTATTCGTGTCATTAATTAGCATAATCATATCAAACCATGAAGGGTTATATTATAAACATGGAGCAACGGAGAGAAAGATACAAGAATAACGTCACGAGTACAGAATTTTTTTTACAGAACTTGTACGAACACTGATATAGAAAAACATGATTGAACTATTTTTTTTTCTTTTTTCCCCATCTTTAAATAATGTCGTGTCATGTGTTGTGTAAAATTTTTCTGTCAAAAAATCCTGTACCTGTACCATGTTTTGGGATACAAAATGAATGGACAGAAATTTGGATAATATGATCCTCTGTACCACACCACCCACAGCTTAGACCAAGGTCACTTTCATGCAGCCTGCATTGAATTTGCTAAAATAAATCAAAACAAAACTGTCCATTGAAATTTCAGTCAATTCTTAATTAATCAAAAACACACAAAAACCACACACTTTCTCAGTTTTCCTACTTCTTCTTCCTTGTACGCGGATTCAGTCATCCATAGTTTTTTATGCCCATAAAAACACGCTCGCACACAGACGATAGAAGAGAAAAAAAATCAATCTTTATTTGTCCACAGCCGATCTTGATTCTGTACACGTTTACACTGGACAACCGTTAATTTTGTTTTTCTTGTAAATTGATTATACATCATCTTTTTCTGTAATAAATGGCTTCTGCGGCAATATTTTCGTCGCTGAGAAGGAGGAGATCTCCGTCGGTGGAGGCGTTTTTGGTGCCGGTGGATCTATCAAGAGAGGCCCTTCTAGATACTCTATGTGCTGTTTCTAGGGAGCTGGTGTCAACGTTTTCGGTCGACAATAAGATCGTGCCCTTTTTCCATGGCAATAATTCCAGATCCCTAATCCGAAAAATCCAGGTCTTTTCTGTCCTCCTGGATTCTTTTTGTGAAGTGGGATTGTCAAGAATGCCTTCAAGGGTGTTTATATGCTTCAAGGAGTTGTATCTCGTGCTTTACAGATCGAAAATTTTGCTTGATTATGTTAAAGGGTCGAGTAAGTTGTGGCTTCTGATTCAAAACCGTTCGATTTCGGGTCATTTCCATGATCTAAATCAGGAAATCTTGATAATTTTGGATGTTTTACCTTTAAGTGAAATTTATGTATCTCAAGATGTTAAAGAACAGCTAGAATTGTTAAGGAAACAATCAAGAAAGTCGAAGTTGTTAATTGATAAGGATGATGATTTGTTGAGAATGAAGTTTTATAATTTCTTAAATGAACTTGAGAATGAAAAGGTTCCTGATCAGAATGAAATGTACTCGTTCTTTGTGGAAAAATTGGCCATTCGTGATGTGAAAAGTATTAGATTTGAGATTGAATTCTTGGAGGAGCAGATTGTGAATTGTGACGGGGATATTGAGCCTACAGCCTCAGTACTGAATGGATTTGTGGCTTTAACGCGTTACTGTAGGTTCTTGCTATTCAGATTTGAGGATGAGGAGGGTGAATTGGGAAAGTGGAGGCATAGGAAGACGAAGAAAGTAATGATTACCCAGGAGATTGCAGACACGTTTATTACGATTCCCAAGGATTTCTGCTGCCCAATATCGTTGGATTTGATGAGGGATCCTGTGATACTATCGACAGGGCAGACCTATGATCGAGTCTCAATATCAAGATGGATGGATGAAGGGCATGGTACTTGTCCAAAGACAGGGCAGATGCTCGTTCATTCTCTATTGGTGCCAAATCGGGCTCTGAGAAATTTGATCATGCAGTGGTGTCTTGCTAATGGGATTCCATATGATCCGCCAGAGAGTGTGGATTCTTCTTCTGAGAGTTACACTGCTGCTTTGCCGAGCAAGGCTGCAATGGAAGCTACTAAAGCCACAGCAGATCTTCTTGTTGAACGGCTAGCAAGTGGAACGGAAAAGGCGAAGACTGTGGCTGCCAGAGAGATAAGATTGTTAGCAAAATCGGGAAGAGAAAATCGTGCTTGCATTGCGGAGGCTGGTGCAATACCCTGTCTGAAATCGCTACTTTCATCTTCGGATGCCTTGGCACAAGAGAATTCTGTGACTGCAATGCTGAACTTATCAATTTATGATAAAAACAAATGCCGAATCATGGATGTTGAAGGATGTTTAAGATCAATCGTTGGAGTTTTGAGATCAGGACACACGACTGAGGCCAGGGAAAATGCTGCAGCTACATTGTTCAGTCTCTCGGCTGTTCACGACTATAAGAAACAAATAGCAGGAGAAGATGGGGCAGTCGAAGCATTGGCAAGGCTGTTGAAAGAGGGGACACCAAGAGGACAAAAGGATGCAGTGACAGCTCTATTTAATCTATCCACACACAGTGAGAATTGTGTGAGAATGATAGAGTCCGGAGCTATAACAGCATTAGTAGGGGCACTGGGACGCGAACGCGAAGGCGTCTTTGAAGAAGCAGCTGGTGCATTGGCCCTGATTGTCCGGCAACCAGTCGGAGCAGAAGCTGTCGGGAACGAGGAAATGGCAGTGGCCGGACTGATTGGAATGATGCAATGTGGAACTCCAAGGGGGAAAGAAAACGCGGTGGCAGCACTGCTTGAATTATGTCGAAGTGGTGGAGCAGTTGCAACAGAGAGGGTGTTAAAGGCACCAGCATTGGCTGGGTTACTTCAAAGTCTGCTCTTTACAGGGACAAAACGAGCCAGGAGAAAAGCGGCGTCACTTGCTCGAGTTTTCCAGAGGTGTGAGTATGCGTCGCTACATTATGGTGGAATGGGCGTTGGGTATGGAAACTCGTCCGAAGTTAGGGATACGGGTTTTGGTGGAATGGGCGTTGGGTATGGAAACTCGACCGCAGTTAGGGATACGGGTTTTGCTGGCGATGTAGCAGTATCCATTTCTGTGCCTGTGGTATAGTGGTAACGTGCACAGTTGTGTTCTTGTTTAACCATTCTTCATTTTTTAGATATGTAATATTTGCAAAAATTTTCGTTTAATTATACTAGGGAAAGGGGTTACTGAAAAATCATAATTTACTTGTTAAGGCCAGTTTTTTGCCTTACCATATTTTTCTATATAGCTGTTTCCATTACTAAGTCAAGATTCTTGATATGAAACTGCAAGTCATCTCTCATCTTAAGTAGGAATGAAATAGATTGGAGCCTTGGGACCTATCTTTTCCCTGACTTTTAACATAAAGTCTAAGCTCATCTAATACGCTAAAAATCCCGTAGGTAGGGCATGATATCCTAAATAAGTAATAAAATAGAAATGAAAATATCGTCCCACGAGCATTGAGAACATAGATTTGACTAGAAAAGTTAACTTAAATTGAACACGCATAGATTTCAATTATTTCAATGATTTGAACTAAGTACACTATCAATTCTATGAAAGTAAGTTAAAAGTGTTTAGTGAGCTATTGAATTGATGATCCTAATGTGTAATAATCTCTTTCAAGGAGAATTAAACCAATTTTTACATGCAACCATGCAATATCTCGATGAAGGATACGAGTACATAAAAAAAATAAAATAATAATAATAATAATTTAAGTAAAACATTTAATTAGTGATTAGACAAAGTATAATGATATACTTGTAGAACTTTACGACGTTTGCTACAAGTGCTAAGCTTCGATTTAGACTTCTGAAAAACAAAATGAGTCGCAATTTATTCGAATAATGACCAAGTATTTGAAGGTCTTAAAAATAATATTAAGCATTCAATCAATCAAGTAATAAACTCAAAATGAGAGAAATCGAATTAAAACTTCATATAGGTTTACATTGTCATCATTTTATAGAAAAGTTTAGCCTAACATCTTTGGAATCATGAAAACACGAATTCAATTGATAATATATCACTCGAATTATATGAAACAAAATAAAATTAATAGAATTTCAATTCAGAATGCCCAAAATACTATTTTAAAGTCCTCGTTAAGAGTATGAAATAAGAGAATGACGAGACTTATCATTATTCAAGCTAGACACCTTATTAGGATTTATTTTATAAATTATTAAGCATAAAAGAAGCAAAAGTTACTTATTTATCAGATATAATTTTGAAATTTACTTTATTCCACTAACAGCTCAAAAAATAAGTCTTTGTATCAAGAGAGCCGGATTAGAACGGTGGACCCGTACTTTTCCAAACCGAAACTAGTACATTTGACAGTTCCTTAAATAACAGCCTGTCCACAAAAGCTAGAAAGTAGAAAAAGTAGCTGGTTGGCACAAGATTTAAGGCCAATTCTATTATAATAACTAACAAAACCTCACGGATCCATTTTGTCATATTGGTACTAAATTCATACTTGACAATTTGTGATTGGATCGTTGAAAAATATTTTTGATACAATAGCAAATGAAATCCTATCAAGTATGAATCTAGCACCATTCTGACAAAATGAATCTGTACGTGTAGTAGTTCAGCTCCCCTTAATTGCCTGTTTCTAATCCTACTCTCCACTTTTTCCCTAGCAACCTCATAATCTGACGAATTTCTGACAATAACTTAAGATTCCTTAATCACAATGAAGTGGGGGAGAAAGAAGTCTGTATCTTTAATCAGGCGGGGTTTTTCCCATTTCTGTGCTTTTCAAATTGAGGGAAAAAAGTGCCACTTTTGAGCCTGCTTCAGCAAAGATGATGCAGAAAGGAAAATGGGATTTTCCATCACCAAGTTCATTAGCACCTGCTAGTTGCAAAATAGGTACCTTCTGCAGCATGGATTACGACAATTATTGCAGGCTCTCGTATGGCAACAAAAGATTCCAAGGTAGGACGAGTACAGGAAGAATTACTTTTCCGTATGATTCTGATAATGAGATTAAATTTCCAATAGAAAGAATTCGATGCATTGACAATTCTGGACATGAACAGGATGAAAGAAAAGCAACACCAGGTCAGAATTCTAAATGGGGAAACAGAATTTACAACACAAGGGAGAAAACCTGAGAATGATCGAAATTCAAGAAGATCATATGGAAGGGTTCTGAAAGAGAAACAGGCAGAACTAAAAAGAGAAAGGAATCAGAAGCACTGAAGAGCTCGAAGAACACTTAGCCCGTTGCCTAACACTGAATTGTGATGAATACCATGATCGCATCATCAAGATCTTCAGGCAGGTATGGTTTGATCTGAACCCAGTGTCTATAGACCCTGCAATTCAGAATGATAACTGTTTCGGTGATTATTAACTCCACAGCAAAGTACCATTGGTCTACTTGCATAATGTAAATACTTCTATTTATTGGCTTCTAAGTGTTACATTTAGTAGTTACTTGACAATTCAGTGATAATCACATATTAACAAACACTGAAACGTTTGTACAGAATTGTTGTGTAGAAGCGGCATCATGCATATTGTCATGCAAAAAGCTTATTTCCTTGAGTTGTTCATGTCTTCTATATTTAGAGCATATTCTATTTCTGTGCATGTTCAAAAAATTAGATAATTTTATTTTAAAAAGATATAATAAACTAATAATTCACTGAAATTGTTTCAGCCCCCATTCTCGCCAAATTTTAATGGTTGGAATAATGTTTTTTTTGAAAAATGTGTAGTTGAAAAAGAATGAATTTTTTTTGATTTGCGTGTAATATTATTTTATGGAAGATTGTGTGGTTGAAAAATAAGAGAAAGAGAGAAATAATGAGAATGAGAATGGGGGCCAATCATCAGTATGCAAATAGGATAAGTCTAAACAAGAATGCAAAAATGTTATAGATCTATTCAATCATTATCACATGCGAATTAAACAGTGAAAAATACCTGAATTTAAGATCACAATATGCACAGAAATGGTAAACTCAGCATATGAAATGTCTACAAAACTAATCAAAAAAGGTATTAGATATGAGAAAGTGCATCCAACAAAAAGAATAGCACACAACCTACTATATCAAGTTCTTTCAGCTGGAGTAAGATGGCCCAACTGTTCTGCAGGGTAATTTACACTCCTCATATTCCCTCCTCATATTCCACCAGTTTTTCCCATGATCAACTACTTCGTTTTCATTTTTGCTGTCATCCGTGTCTTACCTCTCCAACTGAAATTCGGACACATTATTTGAACCAGGATTTTCCGTAAGAAATTGTTCCCAGAATACATCATTGGCACCTGCTCGCACATTGGTAGCCATCCCAAGTTGCTGTTCTCCCGTGGAAGGTTGCAGCTCAGGAATAATGGCAGTGTCAGGTTTAGAATTCATGTCAATCCCACAGGTCTTAGACCCAACATCAGAATTTAGTTGTGCGGAAGAAATAGTGAGGCCATCTTCACAAATTGTAGATTCATCCAACTCTGTTGATGTATTATGATCCACTAAACCTTCACCAACATGAAGTACTATGTTCTCCCATAATCTTAAAGAAGACTCCACGTTCTCCAATAATTCATTGTTGAAATTCAAAAATGAAGTCATATTTGTATTTTTTCCTGTGGGATTTTGAGAAGATTCCATATGATTATCTTCCTTGATCGTTTCATCACACAAGTAACTGTTTTGGGGAAATCTTCTCTTTCTATCATGAATTTCCTCTTGTGGCGTCACATTTAAAGTAATAGCTGGTTGGTCCAATGTCAGAGCCAGAGAGGACAACATATTTTTATGTCTTTGTTCTACATGTTGCAAACGTTCTGTCAAACCCTGCATTTGTAATTCATGTCCTTGTTGATCCCGTTTGTGCCTCTGTACTTCCAAATGAACTGATTCTTTATCACTTTTTAGCCTCTTAATAACATCCTTATATCCTTGCCTCTCCGATTCAGTTAAAGGGGGTAAAGAAGCCAGATTTACTGAAGAATGACTGTGAACAGGCTTGCGTCTACGGATGTTTTTCAAAAGGTGGGGCTGACCTCTAACGAAATCCTCGGCTGCAAATTCCCATTGTTCGGGATCAATTTTCCTGAAACCCTGGTAAACATAAACAGGCAAACATATAAAACATCACGAAATATAACTATAAAATGTAATACGTGTTTAAAATATGTTAAACAACGTTAACAAAGAATATAAGGATTTACATATGTATTAAGCTGCCTAATAAAGCTGGAGAAATTGCTGTGCTTGAAGAATCTGGGCAGAAGAAGCCTTGAAAATTCTGGAGGATTCCAAACAATGAAGCTTTTATTGCTCTGACTCCAGGACACAACAGAGTCCGAGGAATGATCATCCACCATCTCATACGTCTTTGCAAGAAAAGGAGGCAATGTATTTGATGGAGCTTCATCCATCATTAATTTATCCAACAATCTCAATCAGAAGATATAGAAAGAAACCAAAATCACTGGCCTAAAACAACCCCAATCAAATTTTGTTTACCATCCACAATTCACCACTTCAAATCCCTAAACTTAGGTCGTGTCAATATTTTTGCAGTTGTATCATTCTAATGCTAACAAAATCTGCAATCATTTCTGGATACAAAAAAAGGGAAGAAATTGTTACATCAAAAGCCACTCTCTTTAAATCCAACAAGTTAGCAATTACTCTGAGCAATTACTCTGCAATATTTATGTAATACCACAGAAAATTTTCTATCTCAATTCCTCTTAAACTCAATAAATCTCGATACTTTTACAATCCAAATTTCAATTCAATACAACCCAAACCGATAATAAAAACAAATCCAACCAATCCAACACCTCTCAGCATTAATTCCCTGCATTTATACCCAAAAGCATAATAACAATCAAAATACACAAAAAGGGGGAATTCACTACTTGCAAGTCAAAGTCGTTAGAGCATAAACTCTTGTATCGGTCATCAAGCAAAGCATCAAATAAAACATAAACAAATTCATGTCTACACAATCCACGCAAACGCATATTGCAGGTACGAATTTCTTGGAGGTTTTCATTACCTGGGAACGGAAGAAGAAGAACCCGTCACGGGAAAGATTTTCGAAGGCTCCAGAGTCAGTTGGTTCGTTGGGACATTTGGATTTTATACATATTTGCATCTGAGGGGTGGGGTTTTCTAAGGTTATGACATTTTTAAATTTTAAAGTTTCTGTTTTCTTGGCAAACAAGTCTACAAACCCGAAAAGTAAGTTGATTGCAAATATGCCCCTAAACTTTTAAAAATGATAAAAATATCAACCAATGTTTTTCAAATTAAGCCTCCGTTTGATTCTGATTTTTCACCCCAAAAAATCAATTTTTTTACTATTACTTCCATTAGTCAACACTCATTTTTACTTCTTTACTCATAAGTGAAACTCATTTTTCTTTGTAACGATCAAAAGATTGATTCTTATAATCACTACTGAATAGACCCTATATATATATATATGGAATTATATTTAGGATCTGTTCAGTAGTGATTATGAAAATCAATTTTTTGATCGTTAGAGAGGAAAATGGGTTTCACCTATGAGTAAAAAAGTTAAAAATGACGACTGACTAATGGAAGTAACAGTAAAAAAAATTGATTTTTTGGAAGTGAAAAATCAGAACCAAACGGGAGCTTAATATATATATATATATAATATTTATTAAATATTGAGTGGAAAATTTTGATAGAATTCAACATTGCATCTGTTAGTAAAAAGGAAATTAGAATTTGAAATAATATTATAGAGTCCATTTAGCATAATTCTGAAGAAGTCAAAGGAACTTTTTAAGGGCATGTTTGAGAGCAATTTTTTCCTCTAAAAAATTGATTTTTTGACCGCATTTTACTATTCCAGCCGTCATATTTGACTTCTTCTCTCACGAGTGGACCTCACTTTTTTCCTAACGGTAAAAAAATTAATTCTCAAAATCACTCCCAAACAGGCTCTAAGTCTTAAAAATTACATTTGAACCTATTTGATTAATTTGATAAAAATACTTCTAATTTGAAGAATTTTTAGATGAAATTGTCTCATGTGATTTCTTCTAAAAACTTTTTCAAAAGAGAAAGCTCCTTGAAAAATTAATTAAAATAAATTATTTAGCAAGTTTCTTCTATAAGAAGTAGAAACAAAAATAGAAGCGTTATCTAACAAATCTTTAGTATATTATTAAGCTCATGTTTGACCCCCATTAATTTTCATTCAATTTCATTTCATTTTCTTTCTTATATTTTCAATCACACAATCTTCCATAAATATATATTACATGTAAATCGAAAACTTTTTTTTTCAACTAATTTTTTAAAAATACACTATTCTATCCATTAATTTTTCCACAAAATGGGGCCAGACGGGGCAATTTCTGTAGGGCAAAAAGCTCAAATTGGACATAAAGCTGGGCACATTTTTCAGTTATCCAAAATTCAGGGTGTCTTAATGTTAACAGAGTTGATTTTGACTTCCCTCGTAATTGCATTCGTCGAACTGACATAGTAATCTTGATTTATCTTTTGTGACGTCAGTGCTTCGGTGGAATTCGTTTATCCTTTATTTATTATTGCAATTGCTTGGGAAGCGCGCAACAAATGTCACCCAATTCATTTATAATATTTGTATACAAATATTTCTGAATTCAATGGTTGCCTTACGGACCAGGGTGGATCCAGTTCATGGATGGGCTGGCGATGCTTTAACTCATGGGCAAATTAGATCTAGTACCCTAAAAAATTAACTATTTTGATTAATACCCTATTGAATAATTAAATAAATTAACCACGTATTTAATACGGTGTAAAACTATCAAAACCACCCCAAAACCCCAGTCCGTCCCAATTCTAGAAAAGTCCCAAAAAAACCCTTCACCCAATTAATTTCACAATTCTACAACTCCTGAATCAGAATTCAAGTCCACGTACTTCAAACTCCATAGCTTGAGATTTTTGAGAAAAAAACAGTTGTTGGTTTGTAAAAGACTTTGCTTTCTTCCCTTATGTATCTGTATGTAAATGTCCTTGTGCATATGTATGTATTCATCTTGCGCAAAACTTTGATTTCTTCTATTTCGATGTCTACTCACTTGTTTTACTCAATGGAATCGTTAATTTTTTTTTTTTGGGAAATTATTTGAAAATTATATTTTATTGCTAAAATCATTTCAAGTTTCTAAGTGCATTGAGGTTTATGCAATACGTTTATAAAAAAAAAAAATAAAAAAAAAAAAATTTTATTGATGGAATCAATGGTCTAGCGGATTGGAACAAGAATCAGGTTATGAAAGCTCAATTGTTGGTGATCATAGTGACTGTGATGATGACTCGAAGGGTGTGGAGAGTACGGAGTTGGATGAGGAATTTAGTGCTAACTCTTGACGTTTTGATCGGTGTTTTATCGATAAATTGAATTAAGATGGTTGGTGTTGAATGAAGAAAAATGAGGGATGGTAGTTGTGTCATTTTTTTTTTTAAATTTCTACTACTTTATTTAATTGATTTCAATGTTTAATTGGTGTGTCGTCACTTTTTTAAAAATTTATCACTTCTGTGTTCATAGGTTCTATCATAATTGGTCCAATTGGAAAGCAGTGTGTTGATCTTTGGCTTATGATTGCCAGTGCTACCAATGCCATTGTTTAGAAGAAATTTGGAGTGGTGGGGAATTTTTATTTTTCGAGTTCTATTGAATAATTGAAGTCTTTAAAGTCTGAAGTTAGAAATTTATATGATACATGTATTAAACAAGTTCTTATTTTTGTAGGAAGTTAGATTCTTTACCGATTTTCTAATTTCTATGGATGCTTTTTAGTTCTATTAATATGGACTATTGCCTATATGATTGTAACCAAATGTGTACCATTTATGTGTTTATTATAGATGTTTCGACAATAAATAAAATTGAGGGCAAAAAGATTGGCCCGCGTGCTGTTCTCCTTGAACAAGGAAGATGATAACAATCCAAACCTTGTGAAATTAGATGTGATAACTAGAGAGAATGAAAATTTTTTATGGACATCTAGCCATTGTTTCTGATCCGGACAAAATTACTTTTGAGATCAAGAAGTGATCTCAAAAGTAATATCATGTAACTTTTTTTTCTGAATTTCGTCCCTTTCATTTTTTATT